CAGATTGGTGGTAATCAGATGTAAACAGAGACATGTCCGCTTACATCTGAAGCCCCAGAGAACAAAAATGGGTCCAGTTGCTTCAGTTTTTTCCTCCATAGCAAGATGGAGTAAAACTGAATGGGCACAGATGTCACAAGATCACTCTGATCAGCATGGGATGCATGCACAGATCCCCTGCTGATGGCAACATACGGTAACATGTAAAGGGAAGTGAACCCATACTTTGCCCAGTATAAGGAAAGGTACAGGTTCACTTTAAGAATAAGAACTCTTTATTGAATAAGTCTGTCTAACTTTTGCTTGGACAGTAATGGTGACATTACTCATAGCAGGAGAGCTGTAAAATCACTTGTGTCATTCAGTTTGAAAGAGTGCCAAGATATAATTCATAACTGTCAGTAACATGGAGATAACCTTGTAGACTGAGTTTCGTTTTTTTTCAAATAGGACTTTGTTTTATAACGTGTAATATGTCTAAGTTTCAGTAGGACACCTCGGAGGCACCCATTAAAGAGGAACTTCATCCACCAATTTAATGTCTTCCAAAACAGTTACTTTTAAGGCATGCCAACTGTCAAGGTTTCTAGTGTGGTTGTTTCAGCTCTCAGCCGAACTTTCAAGCCCCCAAATGACTGGTGTCATAGCTGATCACGTGTGCAACCTCATGGCAACTGCAATCCAAATAGAGGCTAAGATGGCACCTCCCTTGGCTGTAAGGGTTAGGAGGTTGTAGTTCTGCCTTAAAGTGTATTTCCACTTCTGCAGGCAAATTTGAGAACCCCCACTATATGTTTGCTATGCTATTCATACAGTATGCCTAAAACCACCAAAATGCCAGAATTATACGTAAAAATAAGCCAGGGGGCACTGGTGTGCCTTATGGCATTGTCAGGGGTGTCTTCAATTTTTCGTACAGTGTCATGCATTTCCATTGTGTAGTTGAGCCAGTCACCAGCACAATAGAAATGCATGACGCTAATTGGGAGGGTTACATCCAGGACCTCCCCGGGCATTCAGAAGTCCACCTCTGTCCAGAGCTGCCCCACATCCTGCCCCCATGTCCTGCTGCCTTAGCAGGACTCTGTGCAGACCAGTCAAGTTCCTCCACCCCAAACTCGCTCATCCATGTCTTTATGGACCTTGCTTTGTGCACTGGTGCGCAGTCATGTTGGAACAAGAAGGGGCCATCCCCAAACTGTTCCCACAAAGTTGGGAGCATGAAATTGTCCAAAATGTCTTGGTATGCTGATGCCTTAAGAGTTCCCTTCACTGGAACTAAAGGGCCAAGCCCAACCACTGAAAAACAACCCCACACCATAATCCCCCCTCCACCAACTTTACACTTGGCACAATGCAGTCAGTCAAGTACCGTTCTCCTGGCAACCGCCAAACCCAGACACGTCCAGTGGTGGCGTGCTTTACACCACTGCATCCCACGCTTTACATTGCACTTGGTGATGTAAGGTTTGGATACAGCTGCTCGGCCATGGAAACCCATTGCATTAAGCTCTCTACACACACTGTTGTTGTGCCAATCTGAAGGCAACACGAAGTTTAGAGGTCTGTAGCTATTGACTCTGCAGACAGTTTGCGACATCTATGCGCTGACCCCACTCTGTCATTTTACGTGGCCTGCCACTTTGTGGTTGAGTTGCGGTTGTTCCCAGTTGCTTCCACTTTGTTATAATACCACTAACAGATGACCGTGGAATATATGGTAGCAAGGAAATTTCACGGATGGACTTATTGCACAGGTAGCAATCTCTCACGGTACCACGCTTGAATTCACTGAGCTCCAGAGAGCGACCCATTCTTTCACAAATGTTTGTAAGTATAAGTAGAGCAGGAATACCTTATTCCCACTATTATAGCATGTTTACAAAGTAATAGAAGAGGCACATATGGTATGTGTAGCCAATGATCAGAACTGCAAGATGAATGCCATAGTGTCCACTGATTTTTTACTGCATAGTCAGTGTTTATATTTAGCGTAGGCTGCGTGCTGTTATCCTCCTAATTAACACTGGCATTATACTTTACCCAGGACACTACTACAACAATCTGTACATAGACTGTCCTTTAATCAGTGCTGCTCTTTGCATTTTAACCATTAAAGACACAGAATAAGCCAATTTAACATAATTGCTTTCTGACAAAAGGGATCTTAACTTGTCTATAGCACCCTTTTCACTGTCTAGTCCAGGTATGAGGTAACGGCACCTTGACAGAGGCACAAGAAACTAATGTGACTGCTTATAGGGATCTACATCATTGGGAAGATGCACAAATGTGAACATGTTGAGCGGCGCTTGTAGGAAAAATTGATTCCCAGGCTGGTATTTACCTTTTCCCACAGGGTCAGAGAAATGGAAAAATTATAATTTATGAATTAGAAAAAAAGAATGGTAAGCATTTACATCAAAGAAGACAGTTATAATAATTAAATATGTGTTGACTTTACAAGTAGCCATGTTCATGCCTGTTTTTGTGCAAATATCTATGTTGTTGGATGGGGCTGTCCAGTATGTTTCTTAAAGTGTGTTTGCAGCCAAATTGGGATAATACCTATTTTATATTTGTTACTTGTTCCCATTCTCATAGCAGAACTTTAAAACAAAATCCTGCTTGCACTATATTTGCTTTTTCCTGAATTTTTTTTTCTCTAAACTGAATTTCCCTCTGAAATGCAAGATAGGTGGGAAGGTTAATGTTTACCATAATTAAACCTGTCAGAATATAATAGCCCAGCAGGTGATTTGTCCATCCACACAATATGTAGCCGGCCCTATTCTGCACTAAAACCTTTATCTTATCTCTTAACCCCTTCGTGACGGGAGACGTACACTGTACGTCCAGCCACAAAGGGACCAAATGACTTGTCACGTACACTGTACGTGACGAGTTATTTGCTGCTTTAGAGGGCTGTTAATCGCTGAGAATCAGCTTTTAACATTCATTAATGGATGCCCTTACTACAGAGGCATTCATTAATGAAAGGGTTAACCTTTTTCAGACACCCGATACCTTAATATCGGGTGTCTGAGAGTCAAAGCAAAGCGGACACAGATGCCGGCTTTTGCCGGCATTCTGACAGCTCGTATAGATCGAGAGATATCTCTCTCAAGCTATACTGGCTTTTTTTTTTTTCTTTCATGAATAGATACAAAATGTGTCTATTCCTACAATGTATCTATTCCTGGAAGAAGAATGTTTGTTTGCTGATCGTTGTTGCAACAATCAGAAAACATTTAGTAACAGCTGAATCCTGAACTGCTGCAGGATCAGTGTCACTAACTTATTATCGGCTGTTCTGAAGTTTGAAGCAGCCTGATAATAACCAAAAATTTATTAATTTATCATGCAGTAACAGTGAGATTAATTCACAAAATCTGCTTGATATAATTAAATAAATAAAATAACATTTTTAAGTTAAAAAAAAAAGTGAAAAGTGTAAAAAAAAAAAAAAATTGTGAAAAGTGTAAAAAAAATAAAAAAATGTGTAAAAAATAAAATAAAATAAGGGACAAATAAATGAATGTATTTATTGCATTTTTTTAGCTGTGCTGGTTTTGTAAAAAAAATACTACAAATCAAAACTGGGAAAAAAGTGTTTTTTTTTAACGGTTTTTTCCTCTTTTTTTATATTTTATTTGTCCTAAGTGAGGCGTTAGACGCACATATGTGATATAAATATGTAGCCCTATCTGTCCTCTAAAAAACAATATATAATATGTGTGGGTGCACTTTGTAAGAAAGTATATTACTGACGTGGAAGAATCACACAGCAAAAATGTCAAAAGTGTGTCAGTCATTTACGAACAGAAACTAAAAACAAGCTCAGTCATGAAGGGGTTAATGATCTTGTTTGCTGTTTTGAAGAGCCAATATAAAGGAAAAGTCGTGATGAAAAATAAATTCTTGGATTTACCAATCATTTTTGGCATATAAATTATTAACGGTCCGTATAACTGGGGACATGTCAGGGGTGTGTCCATTGCCTAAATACATTGTGCTGTAAGGTGTCCCTCTTTCTCATCTCAGAAAGTTGGGAGATATGTGTCTGTCCTAACAAAGGGTTAAAGATCTATAAGCATTGTATGTTAATGAGGGGAAACTCAGTCTGTCCCTGGTCTTTCTATGGGGACATATGGGGTTTCCTGTTACTTTGAAATTATACAGAGAACCTCCAAAGGCCTGCTACACAGACACATCTAAAAGGTAAAAACAAGTTGTTTTTTTGTTATGTTGTGTGAATAGGAACACATAACAAACATAGAGGGGTTTCTCTAATTTGACTGCAAAAGTGGAAATACACTTTAAAGGAAACCTGACCTCTGAAAAAGTTCATTGCTTGGCTGAGCCTGGATTTAATAATCTGGGAATCACTGACCCAGAACAAGTATGGGATGTCAGAGTGAAGTCTAAATGGTTCAGCATACTTGTTCCAGGTCAGTAACTCAAAGTGCTGAAGCCACTAGATCAGAATGACATCCAGGGAACTAGCATTTTCAGAAGGAGGGTTCAGTAATGGCTGCCTCCATACTTCCTCACTTCAGGAAACCAATGAAAAAAAGTGTTGTTTTTTTTTAGAACGTGCCTAATTCTGGTAGAAGGCAAAAAAAAGGGTCAGGTCAGTAGGCCCCAATAATCCAGTGTCATAGAATAATGGACATTGAGAGATCAACAAACACTGAACTGGGCTTTGTTAAAGCATTCATGATGTATACCAGGGGTGGGCAACTCCGGCCCTCTAGCTGTTGTGGAACTACAAGTCCCATGAGGCATTGTAAGGCTGACAGTTACAGGCATGACTCCCGGAGGCATGATTGGATTTGTAGTTAAAGCACAGCTGGAGGGCCAGAGTTGCCCATCCCTAATGTATACCAATAAAACAAACCATCACATATCAATGATCTCACCCAATTATACTATGTTTCTGTGAAGTTTCTTAGATGTGGGATTTCTGTGTTATGAACTATGTCTTACAAATTTGGCAGGATACGTGTGACAGTTGATGGCGAGTTTCTTCATTACATCTTTCCACTTCAGTTTTTGGATTCACCAGAATGGGATTCACTCAGACCCTCTGAAGAAGGGCTTTTTCAGGTAAATAGCTGCCGTAAGCTGATCATTGGTCTTTGTTTAAAGAGGATCTCTATTAGACATACATTATATCTAAATGTAATCCGTTTATTGGAAATAGTCATCTGCATGTGTTATTGTTTAAAAATAAAAGTGGAAAAATTATATATTTATTAAACTATATTAGACATTTTGGGCTATTTTGCCTGTTTAGTGGTGCTGCATAGTGATTATGCTTTCTTGTTTCTCTCTGGCAGCCTGCTCTTGAGTGATTGAAAAACTTAGACCTGTGGCTGATCTTGTAAATTCAGCACTTGTTAGGTAGGGATGCTGACTGTAGTGCCAGGTATGCAGATCACTATTATTATTACAGGTATTTATACAGCGCAGTCAATTTACACAGTGCTTTACATATTGTACATCAGCCCCTGCCCTCAAGGAGCTTACAATCGAAGATCTCTAGTTTACGAGCATACATACATACATGCATGCATACATACATACATACATGCATACATTTAAAGAGTTAATAGCCATGCATTGTACGTAATGATGCAGAGGGACCTCCCCCAGCTTGGAGCATCAGGGAGAAGAGGAGCACATTGGAGAGGGGTTAAGGAGACCAGTTGATTCTGCAGGAAACTAAAACTAAACTAAAACTTTCAAGCATCAAGGAACAGTGTTCATTTTGAGTGATTTCATCAGCATTTGTAATAGCTTAAAATCCTTTTGACATTAATATAACTTTAAACGAGAACTATGAGATGAGTGATTTCAACTCACCTCATAGTTCTAAGCCGACCTGTGACAATGAGACTGTCACAGGTCGGCTCAGTAGATCGGGAGGTGAGGGAACACATACCGGGTTCCCTCACCTCTCGATCCTGTCACGGCTCTCTGCCGTGACAGGGGGAGGGGCTGGATTCCCCTCTCCCCGCTCCGATCTGCCAGCGCTGACTGGCGGAACGGACGGGGGAGGGGGCGGGTACAGCTGGCTCTGCCTCTAGATAGGCAGAGCCAGCTGTCACTCACGCAGCTGGGCGGATCCCGTCATCTACGTCGGGATCCGCTCCAGGTGCAATGTCTCAGTATACCGCGAGCTGTAGCTCGCGGTATACTGAGCTTAGGGTAACGGGAGGACGCTAGTTTGTGTCCTCCCGTTACCCTAAGGAGAACTATGGGGAAAAACACTGACCCCATAGTTCTCCTTTAAATAACATATCCAGCACAAGTTTATTAATGACGACAAAAAAACAAACACATTTCAGGGGATCCCAGCTCTCCCTTCATCAGGGCTTCAGTGATTGATGAGCTGGATTGATGAAGGCTGTCAGTCTGGTGCCTGCACAGAGATTTTAACCTTTTAACTATGCATGCAGTCCATTTCATCAAACACCCGCCAATTGAAGCCCTGAGGAAGGGGGAGTTGGGATCCCCCGAAGCATGTTGGCTTTTTAAAAAATATATATTTGCCAAGATTAATAAACTCACTGAACATATTTAATTGTAGCACTCTCAGTTTTATACTTTGGGAACCTATGGAATACCTCTGAGGACAGACAAAAGTCCATGCTTGACTGCATACATTTGTAGGACAGCTTTAGTATTTTCTTGCATTGCCTGGTTAGAATGAGTCTAATTAAAAATAATGTATTTCTGATTGTCCCTATGCCATGAAATGTAAAAAAAAATGCATGGTAACAGAGGCAGTGTGTATGAGCCCTATTTGCTCATGCTTCGATCCTGTGAAGAGTATGGTTTGTTTTCTTCAAGGATTAGGCCTTGTTCACACCAAATGCAGAGCAGATCCGCTCAGGTTTCTGCACACGCAGTGCAGTGGGTTGTGCCGCGTTTTTGATGCGTTCCGGGCCGTTTTTGGTACATGGGCTTTCAGTGCAATCCAGGCATTTGCCTGCATTTGCATGCGTTCCAGAGCAGTTAAAATAGGGCTTGCTGCAGTTTTTTCACCTGCTCTGGACCTGCACGTTGCAATGTGAACTGGAGCAAAAAATACCATTGGAATACATTGGACGCAGTTTTGCTCCAGTCTGCACCTGCTCTGCTCTGCACCTGGAACGCGCTTGGTGTGAACAAGCCCTTAGGCCTTGATCACACCAAGCGCAGAGCAACCAAAAACGGCCCGGAACGCATCAAAAACGCTGCAAAAACGCGGCACAACCCACTGCACTGCGTGTGCAGAAACCTGAGCGGATCTGCTCTGCATTTGGTGTGAACAAGGCCTTGAGTCAGGGAAGCACTGCACTAGAGAATGGTGGATGGACTTTAATTGAAACAATGTACAGTATACTTGAGTGACCTTTTGTAATGCTGCGATTTGTGTTGTTTTGCAGGTAACTCTAACTGCAGAAACAAAGTGCCGATATATTACCTGGAGGAGGAAAAAACTGTATTTATTATTTGCCAAGCACCGCTTCATCTCAAGACTCTTTTCAGTGTTGATTAGGGGAGACATTGCAGATAAACTGTATGCATTAAATGAAAAGGTGTTTGTGGACAGTGGGTTTCGATTTGACATCCGATTACCCAATTATTATCACATGGCCTTACCAGCGCAATCAAATAAGCCCAAGGTCCCTAATCGTGTTCGGGACTTCTCCTCGAGGAGGAAAGCAGCCAAACGACCATAAGTAGCTCTACCACTTTCTGACTGGCATCCCAAGATGAACTGTGAATCGTGGTCAAGACGTCTCAGCCATTTCAAGTGCCACTAACTGCATTCATAATGAGCAGTTCTCATTCGTATTCAGTCTTTTTATAATGCACTGTCTATTGATCTCATTACAGATCATTTGAATAGGTACTGTATTTTAATAAAGAAAATAAATGTAGGCATTGCAAAAGCCATTGGTGTTACATTACCCAGATTAAACAAATCTATACTTGGGCCAATCGTTGTGGCAGATTAGCCAATTTTAGACCAAAACGCGTCATCAATTGCAACATATATAGGGGAACATGATACCCATGATAGATCACTTTCTGAGAAATCAAATGAATTCAATGGAAACTCAGGTTGTAGGATAACCATATGTGTCAATACAGTATATAAGGTCCTTATAGGATATTTTATTATCTATGACCAGATCCAGTGGCAAAGGGAAATTCATAGACTGCCATGCTGGCCTTTCCTTTTTCCTTGTCATGGTGATCCAATAACTTCTTTAGTTTTAGGCCTCATTCACAGCAGATGCGTTGGACATCTAGTATGTGGAGGACATCTGAAAATGAATGGGTGTAAATGGAAGTAGTTCACAGATGTCTGCTGCTCTGCGCTGACAAAAAAAGTAGAACAGGCTCTACTTTTTTTCATCGCAGCATGTGTTTAATGCACGTCAATGCAACGAGCATCAACACAAGGCAGAACCAATACCTTTATATAGCTTAGTGTAAAAAATAATCAAGAAAATGCAATGCATTTTTAATGTACTATGCCAACACAAGTGAACGCACTTGCGTTCAGTCACATCCAACGCAAACATTTCGGTGTGAACGCACCCTTAATATAGTGACTGGACAGGCTTGAGGTTGTTAAATTTGGTAACTATAGGAAAAGTTTTGATCATATAGATATGCTCAAATGTGCAATCCTGAAAGCTTGTTTTAGCAATGTAGATGGAAACCTGGGGAGAGTTTACCAGCACTTTCTCAGATTATTTTTAGGCCAGTGGAGAAATGAATATAACACTTTGGTCACCATTTTAACATTTCTGAAGCATGACTAAGGACCATAAGCTATGCACCCTTTAAATGAAGGCCAGCCTGCTGCCAATTATGGTTTTGAATGAAAAAGTGTGCATGTCTTCGCCTAGGAAGGAGAGCGGGTGGAGAGTTCAGGCTCTAGCCTACCCAAGAGTCAAACAATATCAAATGGCTGTGAAAATCCATCCCAGTCTATTGCTTTGTCCCCCAAAAGTCCTCGCTTGGGAGATGTTGGAATGGGCCTACAGATACAGAATGGTCATATATGTTACAATCTAATTGTACAAATATGTTATGCTAAGGCTACATGGGCAATTGATTCCCTCTGCTACTGAGAAATGTAACTACATATTGACAGCCTTCTCACTGGCCGCACACTGAAAATAAACATGCTGCTAAAAAAGATACGTCAACCAGCAATACGTCAACGAGCATGTCTGTAGTCTTAGCCTTTAAATTACCAAAACTACCGTGTTTCCCCGAAAGTAAGACCTACCCGAAAGTAAGACCTAGCGCTATCTTCAGGGATTTCTGTAATATAAGACCTAACCCCAAAATAAGACCTAGTTCGGTGGTAGGTCTTATATTACAGAAATACCTGATAGCGATATTATTTTCGGGGTAGCTGCACCGTATAATTACATTTTACATGTCACGGCCGCAGCTCCCTCCCGCCAGGCACGCCCCCCCCCCCCCCACCCCCCCCCCCCCCCCACGCCCACCTTTCTGGCTCCATGGACGGCATTAGAGCAGATCGCATAGAAGTGTACTTACGTTCAGTCCTGCTCCAAAAGATCTTCCCTGTATGCCCCTGCTCATTGCCACACAGCATTTAAACAAAATGTTTTCAGCCTTGATCAGCACCTACTCTATTCCTTCTTATTGATGAGTCCATACTCATGATGACCCTAGATGAGTACAGACAAAGATAGGAAAGAATGGGGCAAGTGGCACACATGAGAAATAGGAGTCAAATGCATTCTAGTCCCCTAAATGTATTGCACATATGGGATTCAATGTGTAATTGTTTGAAAAATCAAGATTCAATCATTTTCGGGCCAGGGGCTCCCAATCCTGAATACAAGTGTTTCCAAAAACTGCTGTGACCTCCAAACTCAGGAGTGAAATCTTAAAAATGCATTCAAGTACCCTAACTGTTAACAAAAAAGTATTTTATTTGTGTATCACTCAGCTGTAGATCCTCAAATCATCTCTGAATTGGTGCTGACACTGTCCTTCCTTCTGGAGGGTGGCTACTTTTGTTCCCAATGGTCCCTGTGTGTGAGCTTCAAGCTCACTCCCGTAATGGGACTACAATTTCATGGTTAGTTAAAGGAGAACTATAAGGTGAGTGATTTTCACTCAACTTTATAGTTCGAGGCGACGCGTGACAATTAAACTGTCACACGTCGGCTCAATAGATGGGGAAGTGAGCGAACACATACCGTCGCTCGCTCACTTCACGATCATGTCCCTTCAGGGAGCCGTGACTGTCACTCATGGCTCCCTGCAGGGATTCCCCCTTTTCCCGCTCTGATCCTCCAGCGCTGACTGGCGGAATGGACAGGGGAGGGGGCAGATACAGCTGGCTCTGCCTCTAGATAGGCAGAGCCAGCTGTCAATCACGCAGATCTCGACAGTAATGTCGGGATCCGTTCCGGCTGCGGCGGTCACAGTATACTGTGCTTTGGGTCACGGGAGGACGCAAGTTTGTGTCCTCCCGTGACCCTTAGGAGAACTATGGGGAAAAACACTTACCCCATAGTTCTCCTTTAACTAAATTGTATTGAAGTTATAGTCCATCATGGGAGCAAACTTGGTGTAGTGGTTACTTTCCTCAGGAACCATGGGGAACAAAAGTGGCCACACTCCTGAAGGAAGGACAATGTCAGCATGAATTCAGAGATGATTTGACGATCTACAGTTGATTGATACACAAAGAAGATACATTTTAGAATGAATAGAGTGAATAGTTAAGGTACTTGAATGCATTTTTAAAATGTAACTCCTTTGTTTAGTGTCACTCTAAATGATTATGTATAGCTTAGAGGTCACAGCAGTTTTTGGAAACACATATTCAGCATTGGGGAGCCCCTGGCCTGTTTTCAAACAGATTACACATTGCATCCCATATGTGTAATACATTCAGGGGACTAGAATGCCAATACATCATTTGTTTTACTTTAAAATGCTTAATTTTAATATTTGCTAATTCCATATTGTAAGTGATGCTGGAATCTTTGGAATTTGGCAGTATTTGATTTTTCTTATTTAATTTAAGATTGAAACAAGAAGAGCGTGACCTATAATTGACACACTTCACCCAGTACTAAGAATGTGTGCTTTCTAAACATCATTAATTATTAAAATGTATTTCCTAAAGGAGGCTAAGTGCTCAAATTGATGGGAAACTTGCTAAGAATGTTGATTCTAAAACTACCCGTTGACATTTGATAGCAGTCTAAAGAGACAGGGAAGCTTGAGGTGACTGATCATTTATCTAAGAAAGATAGCTCAACCAGTGCTGCCATTAAAATAGCTCTGATGAGATGGAATTGTTTCGCTGTTGCCTATCAGATGAACAATCTCTTATCGTGATTTTTATCTTAAAATTACAATTCGCACTTAGAAGGGCATCTGTCAGAATAACACAATCACAATACTATTTTGTGAAAAACAAACTACCTCTTGGCATGTATAGAAAAACTGCCAATACCACCCCCTTTAGCCTAGTCAGCCCGGGTCACATGATCTGTGCCAACCAGGAGCATTATGGGTATTTTACAGCATCAGAGAATATAGTGAGTCTGTTGATTTCAGTCAAAAGACCCTGCGGTGAGAAGATGAGTGAAGTGAGAATACAGCTACAGCCTCGTATATAAATAAATATCCAGAAATGTCATTCTGTAGTAGGATTGGGTTGTTCTCTTTTATCTGCACACATAGAAACAAACATTAACTGGGCTGCAGGTTCTCTTTAAAAAAACTAAAATCCATTATAAAGCCTTGCTTCAAAGCAATCCGGCACCATGACTCGTTCTTTAAGAATGTACAATGTTTCGACAGGTAAGTTTGTTACTGCCCATTGAATGATATTTTCTAAAAAGGATTGTTCACAAGTTTGACATTCTCTGTCATATCTATGCGCAGCCTAAGGATTAAACTACACGGGACATTTTAGTCTCATGCTATTCACTGATTGACTCTTTTCAACAATCACTTATATGTATTAAAGAAGAACTCCGGGCAAAAAATTTTCTTAGCCCTTGCAGAGGGACTACCCCCGCACTGCAATGGTTAAGTGCTCATTTTTGTCTAGGTGCTAAGATTAAAAAAAGTTATACTCACCTGATCCTCAGAGCCGGCTTGCTCTTAAACCAGTCCCAAGAACCTCTCTCCCCCTCTGCTGCAGTGGTCTAAGGTCACATGAGTCATCACATCTTAAACACAGTGTATAGGATGTGAGGATGCCAAGAGACATACCATTGCTGCAGAGGAGGAGGAGACAGGCTGGAGGGAGTGCTTTAACAGCTGGCCAGCTCTGCAGTTTGGATGAGTATAACTTTGTTATTTTAGCACCTAGACAAAAATGAGCACTTAACCCTTGCAATCTGGGGGTAGTCCCACTGCAAGGGTTAAGAACACTTCTGATCAGAGTTCTTCTCTAAAGAAGATCTCCAGGAACATGCATTAACCCTTGCAGTGGGGCTACCCCTGCAGTGCAAGAGTTAAGTGCTGGTTTGTGTCTAGGGACAAAAATTGGAATGTTCCACAGCGTCCTAACGTCTATACACAGGAATGAATTTATCAAAACTGGAGCAGACAGAATCTGGAGCAAGGGTGCATGCCAACCAATCAGTTTCTATCTTTTATTTTCAAACCTTAACTGAACAAACTGAAGAGAGAAGCTGATTGGTTGCCATGGGCAACTGCTCCAAATTTTGTCTGCTCCAGTTTTGATAAAGTCTGTGTACGGTGTTTAGATGTGATTGCTTACGGGACCTTAGACTGCTGCAAAGGAGGGGGAGAGACACAAGAAGGA